GGGGGGGAGGAAGAGGGTAAGCAAGTGGGAGGAAGGGGGAGAGAGGCAGGAGGAAGAAAGAGGGGAGGAAGGGGGGAGACAGGCGGGAGAAAGGGGGGAAAGAGGTGGAAGGATGAGGGTAGACGGGGGGGGAGTAAGGGGGAGGCAGGTCGGAGGAAGAGGGGAGAGAAGCAGGAGGATGGGGGGAGACAGGTGGGAGTCAAGCGGGAGGAAGTGGGGAAGAAGGGGGGAAACAAGCGGGAGGAAGAGGGGAAAGAGGTGGAAGGATGAGGGTAGACAGGGGGGAGGAAGGTGGGGAGACAAGTGGGAAGAAGGCAGGAGAGAGGCAGGAGGATGGGGGAGACAGGCGGGAGAAAGGGGGAGGAAGGGGGGAGGAAGGGGGGAGGAGGAGAGGGACACACAGGTGTGCGCGTTTGAGAGCAGAGGATGGAAATATTGAATTGGAGAGAACGGCAAATGAGGCAGGAGAGAGAAATGAATTGAGGGTAGAGGGGAAGATGGAGGGGGACGGGGGGGAGAAAGGGAGACAGGAAGTGAGTAAAACCAGAGTTATGAGACAAAATAAGGAGAGGGGAGGAGGGGGGGAGGAGGGGGGAGGAAAAGAAGGGAGGGAATCATTAGTGGTTGTCCTCAGTGGGACAATCTGGCATTTTACCAGAAACGCTCATGAATTAAACAAATTATCCTTCCCTTTTCTGTGTCAGTTACCTCCCCCCCTCTCCTTCCCTCCCTCCCTCCCTCCCTCCCCCCCTCCCCCTGGCTCTGATCACATCAGGAGTGATGGACGGACGGAGGCCAGTAGAGCGTGTTTTCACTGAGCAGCTTATGTTAACCGCATTGTTGTAAGGGATCCATAAATTAAACAGAGCCGGTGATTAACGGGCCGAGGACGCCGGCCAAGAGCAAACGGGAGAACGGCGTCCTTGAAGCCCCTCACGTGCACGCTCACGTACGTGCACACGCACGTGAGCGTGCACGTAGGCGTCCGTGCCAGCCCACCTTTAACTCATTGGCTGCCAAAGACGTCTATAGACGTCTTTTATGTTTATATTATTAAACTAGCTTTGTTGTAATCGTAAAAGGAGTGATGGGGACATTGGTTCAGCGTCTTGATGTATTTTCTACATGTACAAAAGCAGAGTGAGCAAGTAAAGTTTGTTGTATTGATGGTTGGAGTCAGACAAATAATATCAGGCTTTTTCAGAACAGAGAGTCCCATACTGCCAGAGTTTTTTGAGCATTTTGACTGAAAATATCAGGCTTGTAGACAGAGTATGTAGTAACAAATTGACCCTCTAGGTCAGTGTTTTTCGACCACTGTGCCTCGGTACACTAGTGATGGTCAGGTGTGCCGTAGAAAATCATCCTATTTCACCTAATTGGTCTAAAAAGATTTTTTGATAAGGAATTAATTATCTGCAAATAGTATGCCATTTTTGAGTGTCTGTGCTGTAGTAGTGACTGGTGGAGTAATCATGTAATAATTCCTTATGGCTATATTTTGTATATTGAAGTGGACATATTAAGAGCAATTTGAAAGAAGAAATATAAAATATGATAAAAATACGTTTTGGTGTTTGTTTGAATTCTATTCAAGACACTTAAGATAAGATAAGAATAACTATAGTGTCACTAAATGCGGCTACAGATTTGTTTGACATTTTCAGTTGGTGGTGGTGGATTTTTTCTATGAAAAAAGTTACCTTGGGTCAAAAAAGGTTGAAAAACAGTGCTCTAGGTGGCAGTGCCACTTTTGATGGGAGATGAGCATAGACTGTAGGCAAATAAGAAAAAGGTAACGGTTCACTATGAGAGAACATGTCGCCGGTGAGACGCAAGTCCAGGAAGAACGGAATAAGGTAGAAACAAACATTTTTTCCTGATGAAAGAAGAGATTCTACTCTTTCTTTTGGTGTGTTCGGTGTTTACATAGTCATAGCACAAACTATTCTGTGGCTCTTGAAAAATAAGTCAAAATGCTCAAAAAACTCTGGCAGTATGGGACTCTGTTCTGAAAATGGCTGGCAGTCAATGAGTTAAGGAGTCTGATGAAACATTTATGGTGGAAATCACCTTTTTTTTTTGTTGTATCTGGGGGAGAGTTTGAAGGTCTCCTGTAACGAGCAGATGTCTGCAGTCTGCCCAGGACCCACGTGCACGCTCACACAGGTAACGTGCACGCCCCTGAACGCCTCACGGAGACGTTGGGAGCCGTGTCACCGCTTAATGAAGCAGTTAAAAACCCCCAAAAAGCCACTCTCGTTTTAAAAAGATAGACACATTGGGCACGGATCCTCTGAAAGGTGACTTTGGGAGGGGGGGGGCAGTCTGAGATCTGTACGGCAATAAGTGATGCAATCTAATGTAAGAAGCCGACCAATGAGAGGGAAGAATCGTGATCCAGCCTCAGAGCAAATGTTTGGATACAGAAGGAGGTAATTTAATATCTAAGTCCTTGTCTTTGGACCCGAACCCTTCTGGGACGACTGTCTCATAACACGTTATATGACGTTTCTTTCACTTCTGGACGATAAGGATGGTTATTAGATTAGATTAAAAAAAATGTTAAGTCCGATCCCACACAAGCATTAGCATCTTTCACTTCTGGCAAAATAAGGATGGATATTAGATTAGATCCAGTTTTTTTAAAAAGTCTGATCCCACACTAACATTAGCATTAGCATTAGCATCTCCTGACCCACAGGTCTGTGTTCTAACCATTAACTTTCACTTTTGGCACAATAATGATGGTTATTAGATTATATTTGACCAGGATCTGTCTTTTGACTCACATATAAAGCAGGTTTCTATCACCGCCTGTTTTCACCTTCATAAAATCCCCAAAAGTGGGAACATCCTGTCTCAGAATGAAGCAAAGTAACTAATTATTTTTACTTTAGGTCTGAGAAGCCTCCAGTGGATCCAAACTTTCTTTTCTCTGGCTCCTTGATAAAGTCAGACTCTAATATTCTGACTGAGCTCCATCATTTCTTAAAGACTTCATAGTTTTTCATGTTCAAAATAGAGAACTTTCTTCTCAGACTGCAGCTTTGGCTTTTGTAACAATCTGGGATTTACTCTGATAACAACTAAATGGTTAGGACACAGACCTGTGGGTTAGGAGATGTTAATGCTAATGCTAATGCTAGTGTGGGATTGGACTGGATCTGGAGTCTGGATCTGCATTTTCTCCTGCCGGCCGATACGCATTTTTTTGCGAATATAGACGGCCGATCGGATCCAGATATCGGATCGGGAACAGCCTAGTTTGCAGACGGTCAAATCTTCTCAACACCTTCCGCCCGCCCACTTGTTTTACTCCCCCAGGTCTCTCTTTCAGCCTCTCTCTGGCTGGTTCTCACCTGCAGGAGGTCCTGCTGCTGTTTGTGGTGCTCTGTTTGTAAAGCCCTGATCTGAGCCGCGTGGGCCTGCTGCAGGCGCTCTGATTGGTCCGTCTGGACCTCGGGGCCGTCGCACCAACGCGCTGCAGACAGAAACGCCATGAAACAGGGTCACGGGAAATCAGATGCTGGGAAAAGTCACTCATCAGAAAACAATCAGAACAATTCCTATGAAGTTGGAACGGAATACAATGCCATTAAACACAATACTAAGAAAATAGTTTGGACACTTTATAATTTATATAGTCCCTAGTTTTAATTCTATCTATTATGTTTTTATTTTTTTATTTGTACTATGAATGAATAATAATATCATATTAAATAATAATAAATATTATAATATAATACAATATTATTATTATATAATATGATAATATTAAATCATTTTTCCACTTTATATTTCTAACTTTATTTTTTAGATAAATGTCCATGTAAATTCTTTTATAAATATTGTGTGACAATTCATAAATAAAAGCTTCTAACAGACATCTGTACTCAGTATGACTTTGTGTGTGCCAAATAAACCCTGACTTGATTTTGAATGCTTAGACCGATAAATTCTCATTAAAGCTTTTTGCAATTCTGAACCGATCCCGATCCCGGCCTATCAGAGCATGCACGATATCCGTTCTGATCACATGAATTGTTTTTGATTCTGATGCCTGCAGCATTTTCCAGAAAAAGCCCAGAGTTGCGTCACCTCTAACTTTAACCATATTTAGTAAACGTTTAGGACTGATTGTGAAAGCTCGACGTATGACTCCATCTGGATGTCGGCTTCACAATGAGGCACGCGTTCAGGGGGACGCGGGTCTGGAGGAGGGACGTCCCCATCCAGATTTTTGCTCTTCCGATCCCGGCCTATCAGAGCATGCATTAAAATTTAAAGTTATTTATCTACTTATTTAGTTGTCAGACTCATGTTGAACAGGGATTTACTCTGATAGCAACTTAATGGTTTGGACACAGACCTGTGGGTTAGCAGATGCTAATGCTAATGCTCGTGTGGGATCGGACTTTTAAAAAAATGGATCGATGCAAATATGGCATCGGGACAAGCCCAGCCGGCTGCTCCGGCTCCGCTGTTACCGGGCAGAACTCGTCTGGCAGCGATGAGCAACGACGGGATTACTGACGGTGCTCACGTCCTTCACTGCCTGATGTTTTTAAATGAGCTGAGGGGTCAAAGGTCACAGGCGCTTAGTGCTAGTGTCTGGCTTCTTATGTCCTGGTTCCCTGAATCTTTTGATTTGGAAATGAGAAACGTTCCTAAACTGTCGAACTATTTGGTCACGCAGTGGTTTTCCCGTTTATTATTATTTATACTTATTGACCATTTAACCTGTGGAACGTCATGTGTTGTTCGTTTGTATGTTGTTTTTATAAAGTATTTCTCAGCTATATGAATTGTCAGACACAATATTTATTAAAAAAAAGTGGAAAGATGATTTAATATTACAAATAAGTAGTGAAAATTAAAAAACACTACAAACATATTACTAAGTAAGTAGAATAAATTAATTTAAACTTAAACAAGTGCTCTGATAAGCCGGGATCAGGATCAGATGGGCAAAAAGCTGGATATGGACGTCCTAACTCTCTTCTCGTCTCTTACCTATATGAATTGTCAGACACAATATTTATTAAAAAAAAGTGGAAAAATGATTTAGTATTACAAGTACTAAAAATGTAAAAACACTACAAACATATTACTAAGTAATATGTTTGTAATATGTTTGTAGTGCCTCTTACCTTTGGGCGTGCTGGAGCTCGGTCTGATCATATCCGGGTTCCTCTCCGGGCTCTCGCCCGCCTGCATGACCAGCCTCCTTTTCACCTTCGGTTTTCCCCCCGGATCCTCCCCATCGCTCTCCGGGGTCAGAGGACCAGATCCTGACCCAGATCCTGGACCAGATCCTGATCCCGGTCCAGACCCTGATCCCGACCCAGACCCAGATCCTGATCCCGGCCCAGATCCCAATCCCGACCCAGATCCAGGCCCAGATCCCAGCCCGGATCCCGGCCCAGATCCAGATCCCAGCCCAGACCCAGATCCTAATCCCGGTCCCGACCCAGACCCTGATCCCAGCCCAGACCCCGTTCCAGATCCCGACCC